ATTTGTCATAATCATGGAAGAGTAGGTACCACCTGCATTTAGTGGGTGGAGAGCAGGAATACTGCTAAACATACTCCAATGAACAGGATGGTCTCACACAACAAAGAATTATGTGACCCAAAATGTCAATAGTGCCAAGGCTGAGAAACCCTTCTCTAGATTTATCCAGTTTAGATGACAAATTTGAAATCTTGAAATCTTTGTACTTTCCACTAGCCCTAAAATGCAGCAAACTACAAAGCTATTTATTAAGAAATATTTAATGATGGATCAATAAGGTACAAAGAGATAAAAAGATATAATCCCTAAGTTTCTACTTTGTCAGAAAACAGCAACATCTTATCACTAGAGAGCAAATATTTGACTCATCTGCCTGATTATTTGACAAGTATCCTGTAGAGTCATGTTCATTGAGAGGTGATCTTATTTCGCATCACTGGCAAAGATATTCTATTTTCTTATCTTCTTTAATTTTCTTCATAGTGTGTTTGCACCTTGAGTAGCTGTTAAGATAAAGCAATCCAACATTATTAAGTCCTTGGGGAGCATTTATCATAGGAGTAAATTTGCAGAAAAGTGTCTTTTCTAGTTTTGAACCCAATAAAGAGCTAAATGCTGTTTGAATCAGATTAAAAAAATAGATTAACATTATCCACCTCAAAAATCACAACAAACAGCAGATTACAAGCATATTTAGAGCCTTCTTGCTGAAGAGAATAAAGATTTATTGCCGACTGTGAAGGGGCAGATTTGACGACTGATAGAAAAATCACAGCGCTTTGTCAGTTCACCTAAGTAATAATTCATCAAAGAAATGTGTTGATGAGTTCAGTCTGGTTTGAATTTAAATTATAGTTAATTCTTGGGAAACAGCTGAAGTACCTGAGCCTCATTAAAAAACTCCAGCACCCTATCTAAGGATATAAACAATCCTTCTTATGTTATATAACTAATATTATCAAAAATAGCAAGAATACTCATGCTCAGAGATGAATAAAGGCTGGCTATATTTACCTTGAGAAAAACACATCTGGGTGCTCATGAAAGTCTGGTAAATACCTCAAAAATTTGATCTGAGTTCACTTCTGCAATAGATGCTCAATAAAGCAGATAAGGGGTTCAGATGAGTCTTTACCACAAAGAAAAATAACAAGGGTTGGTTGATCAACTTTCTCTGATAATTATTGTTCAGTGAGAAAAGATAAAATGTGATATTTTCTCTGGTAAGCATTACACCCTTAGGCCACCCCAGTCTAAAGACCCTCTGTGCTGCTGATGAATTGATGGAATTTGACAAGCCATTGTGTGTATCTGGCAGCCAGGTGTCTTGGTGTGGGTGAGACAGGAGCTAGCAGAGTTGATACATGGGAATATTACTCCCAGATGTTCTCCAAAGGGAAAGAACAACTTTCTTTCAACAAGGACAACCTGTCCTTTCAAGATGAGTCCTATGCCATATGTGCTGCAGTTAGTTAGCTCTCTGAGAAGCAGCAAAGCATCATGGATGCCATTTTGCCAGGAAAACACATAAGCATCTGTAATAGTTTCTGTCCTATTTCTTAGGAATACCCGTGGCCTGTGCCTGGAGGTCATTCAAGGCAAATGAAAGAAAGAAATTTTATGATGTTGGGGAGATAAAGAAGAAGGAACACAGTGAAGATGCATGGTGTTGATTTTAAACTGAAGAGAAACCTAACCAAGTGAAGCCCGTCACAATCAGTTATAGCCCTTGCTATAAAAGCCTCTATGGAAAAAATACAACCAACAGTTAATATCTCATGCCAGTGCTCTAATATCTATAGCCTGTCAGATCTCAAACGCTTGCATGTCAATTGGAAACAAGTATTAGTCTGACGATATTTTTGTTTACATTTAAGAAACTTAAAGTTTGCAATATGAGTTGCATTAAGAAAGTTTTCTCAATTTGTCAATTCCACAAATTTTTTAGCATTCTTTAAGTTTTCTGAACTCAGTAATCCAATGTTTGTCTTCATAATTGATTTTATATTTCTAGATTACACATCCTGAAAATGACACAAACAGTATGTAGAACTGCACTTACAAAATCCAAATCCTTGGGTAATGGAACAATTTAGGAAAAACACAACAGATATTGAATAAACACAGTTCATTCTATGTATATTTCAAGGGAAGAAACCTAAGCTGTGACCTTATGGTCCTCTAGTACTCTATCCTGTAGACAGTATCTAATAGATAAGTTTGATTTATCTCTTTTTATGATCAAAATTATTTTATTCATGATATTAAATAATTGTTATTTAATATTGTTTATTAATAATATAATATAATATTATAAGTATTTAATAATTAATATTCTATTAAAGAAAACTATCATTGCTTAACTGTCAGAAAATAAACAAATTGATACGCTTTTATTTCCCATTGCTGTTTTTAGCCTTCCATCTTCTCAAAAGCAGAAGAAAAATATAACTTTCTTTTATGAAAAGCAGTTTCTATTGCAGATTCTGGCTAAGATAGTCTTGGAGAATGCTGATAAAATTCCAGTTACTTCAAACTCATCATTTCAGGTTATATAAACCTATCTTTCTGTAAAATTTTTGATACTATAATGAAAAAATTATGTTCAACTCCTGAGATTTAAAAACCGGTAACCAATTTAACTCAAGCAGTATTACTTTCGCATTGTTCTGTATTAAAATATTTGTTAATTTATAAAAATATCCAAAAGCTTTTGTAATTTTCTTTCAAGGATGAAATATGATGGATTAACTTTGCCCACAGCAATCCCATTCATATATATATTTACATATAAGAGATATATATAATATATATTGCATATATATGAGATATACATGTATGTAAAAATGAATAGGATTCATTAAGATATATATACATATATATACGCATATATATCTTAATTTTGCTTTGAAGCTTATGTCAGTTTTAAATTTATTGTCTTTCAACTTCAAATATATGCTTTCCTATTCTGCTTTATGAAAATGGAACTGGACCCTGTAAACTTTTCTTCTCTGCCAGTGCGTATGATATTTGGCTTCATTAATGGAAGACTGGTTCTGGTTGCCTACTTTTTAATTCAGTGTGGGAATATATCAGCTCCAGCCACATTTTCAGGTTTGGTTTTATGCAATCATGAGCAGCTTCTGAGAAGCTCTAGGGTCTGTTGTAACTTTGGTTAAGCCCTCAGATCACACCCTCTTTAAAGAAATCTGAATCTCATCTCAGTCTTGGGGAAATCCTAACCTAAGTGTCCAGCCAATTTTTTTTTTTTTCAACAGGATCTTACTCTCACCCAGGCTGGAATACAGTGATGTAAATATAACTCACTGCAGCCTCAAGCTCCTGGATTCCCTGAGGGGAAACTCTTGCCTCTACATTTTTAATTTTAAAAATTCCCTTTGGAATTTTATATAGTGATCCCTATTTATTAAACGTTTCTGACAATGAAGAAGACACAGACATTAAGAAGCTCATTCTTAAAAAGAAGCTTTTTTAGGAGAAAAAGACTTATAGACAAGCAAATTTTACTATTAGAGTATGATAGACATTGCTATAGAAGAATGTATACAATGGTATACATTGGTACAATGTATACAATGATACAATGATAGTACCTCATGTTGGATGGGATTAAGGGTGGGGATCAAACAGACTTTACAGAGAAGTTGTAAGTAAGCTGAGTCTTCAAGGATGCAAAGAGGAATGGTCCATGTAGCTTAGGAAGGAGATGGCAATGCAGACTGAGACAAAAGTTAGATGTCGTCAAGAAAACATGTATATAAAGCAAATCAAGGCAAACTTGAGAAATACCAAATAGTTCAGCACTGCTCTAATCTGTGTGTGTGTGTGTGTGTGTGTGTGTGTGTGTGTGTGTGTGTTTATTGTGGAATGGTAATGTAGTGAAGGGAGGTGGCAACCTTGAGAACAGTGCAAAATGAGCCTGGAGGGGTAGGCTAACTCCAGACTAGAAAGGACTTTCTATGTAATGCTAAAAAATTTGAATTTCATTTCATAGCAATTACAAACCCAAAGAATACAAAGGAAATTAACATATACAAGAAAGATAAAAGCCATTTGTTTTATGCACCTTCACTATGTGGAATCCACTATTGAAGGATTTAATAAATTGAAATCCTCAGGCTTGGACTGAGGTTAAAAGAGGGGAGATGATCATATATGAAATACTTAAGCATTAGGAAGTAACACAAAGCATTAAGTTAAATGGCAAAGACCAAAATGTTCGTTAGAGGCTGAAGGTGAGAGAGGTTAGAGTAATTATGGAGAAGATGGAACTTGGGCAGGGTCCTAGAGCACTGGAGGGACTGCATTTTAGGAAAAGATCAGAATGCGCAAGCCTTTTAGACCAGGGGAAGCATGACCACAGAACGGCCTGGCAGCAGGAGGGAGCCTGAGCTGAAAGGGGAAGTTGAGAGAGAAGGTTAAGATAGGAAGACAGAGAGCTTCTGGAAAGGTAAACCTAAGGCACTGTGTCTCTACCTCCCCTTGCCACAACCATGCCACCTCTCTATTCCTGCTGAGCCCAGAGGCAGCGCCAGTTCTCTCTCAATCCATTGCTCAATGAGCCATTTGGAATCAGGAGTTTATTCTCTAGGATACCATTATAAGTTTTTGAATGGTGAATTTTTGATTATACAGATTTTTTCTGATTGCATAGTTGTAGATGACTGATAGAAGGGAGGATCCCAATGTGGAAGCCAGAAAATGCTGAAATTTCCTTTTATATGTAAGTTGTAATTTTATGTAAGTTTCCTTTTATGTCTAAGTTATATGTTTATATGTAAGTTGAAATTTCCTTTTATATATAAGGTGTTGAGAGGTTACATGCTTCAGCTGTTAGTTTGAAAAACATAAGGCATATTTACATTAAATTTACATTGATTTTTATCTCCAAAAGAAACAATGCCAATGCATGCCAAATGCCATAAATCAGAATGTCATGCTGAAAAAGTATTGTTTCACATTTCATTTTTCTTCCTTAGGATGTGACTGACCTCAGACACAGGAATTCAGACATCTTACTGCCTGCCTTTTTGCCATTAAGAAAACAGATACTGGCTCCCCAAACCCAGGATTAAGAAAGAAGCTGGAAGAACTCTCAGAATAGTTTTCAAGACCATGAGTGCCCTTGCCAAAACTCAGTGGAAAAGTCTCTAGAGAAACAGAGGTCATAGAAGTTTAAAGGTTTGGTTATTTTTTAAAGTTTTTACTACCTTCCCAGTAAATATTGCCTTAATTCTTCATTCTTACTAGCAAATTGTCATTTAGCACCCAATAATTCTCTGATTAAAGCCTAGAGAGAGAGTTATTATTTTCAGGGATGAGTAAATTTAACTGCCTTGCTCTCTCTCACAACTTTGCAAAGTAGCTCAGGGATCAAAGCTCTTCTCATTTTCCCCCCAAATATATTCCTCTTTTATTGTATAACATAAAATCTTAACTACTGAGAATCAAGTGTACCATAAGAGAAAAATACCTCATGACAAAGTAGTTGCACAGTGGAAACAACCCTAGGTGTAAACTCTAGGCTTGGTTCTACGAAGGAGTGACTAATTCTTTGACTCTCAAAAAGCTTTTTAACCTCTTTGTCTTCTCTTTAATTAATAAATGTGAATAAAGGACTTTTTATCTATATAAGACTGTTATCAGGATGACATGAGATGATAGATATTGAGAGTGGTTTTCAAACATGTTCCTTGTAGGAACATAAGAAATTCTTCTCTGTTACTGTAATTTACAGTTTCCCTCATGTACCGTTATGATCAAGAAATCTAGATGCCAGTGCTGGAAATATTTCCCTTATGTAATGACATAGTTTCATGGTGGTATTTTCAGTGGACTGTACATGTTACTGCCCCAATTGCCTTTACAGTGGTATGCCAGCCAGCAGACCAATGATCTTCTGCATGGTTGCATCTTCATCTTCATTCATTTAACAAATATTTATTGAATGCCTACTATGTGCCAGGCATTGTTTTATGTACTGAAAATAATGCGTAGAGATGATGTGTCTTCTTTCCTGTAGCTTTCATTCTAATTAGAAAAGACATAAACAAGTAAATAAGCAGTATGCCAGGTGATTTTAAGTGTAATAAAGAAAAATAAAGCAGAAAAGGAGAATATTAAGCAGGAGTCAGCAAACTATGGCCAACTGACCACATCTGGCCTGCTGCCTGGTTTTGTAAATAAAGCTTTACTGGAACATAGCCTCAACCACTTATTTATATTTTTCTCATTAGCTGCTTTAATTTAAATAGTTAAGACACAGACCTGGTCCACAAAGCCTAAAATACTTATCCTATGGCCCTTTACAAACAAATTTAAGGTTCTTGATGTTGGCCATTGAAGGTTGTTTCAAGGACTTTGGCTTTGATGCTGAGTGAAATGTAATGACAATGATGGGAATAACTTACTCTAACTTATGTTTTAGAAGTATTACCCTGGCACCTGTGATGGGAATAGACTCAGGAGCAAGGGTGGAAGCTCAGGACAGCTTTGAATGTGGCCCAATACAAATTCATAAACTTTCTTAAAACATTATGAGATTTTTTTTTGATTTTTTTTTTTTTAACTTATCAGCTATCATTAGTGTTAATGTATTTTATGTGTGGCCGAAGACAAATCTTTTTCTTCCAATGTGGCCGAGGGAAGTCAAAAGAATGGGCAGCCCTGATTTAGATAGTGATTGCAGTGATGCAGAGCAGGGAGATCACCATAGAGTAGTAAAGATAAGAATGAGGCAGTAAGATTGGTTCCTGGATGTATTTTTGAAGTTAACATAGTAAAGGATTATGGCTTAAAGGGCTAGAAAGATGGAACCTCCATCAATTGAAGTGGGGTGGCCACTAGAGAAGCATGTTTGGGATGGAAATTAGCAGTTTGGTTTGCACATAGTAGGTTTGAGATATCATGTGGCTATTGAACTAGCCATGCCAACAAAGGCAGGAGACTATGTAAGTTCAGAATTCAGAGGTGGGGTCTAGGCTGGACATAAAAATCTCATAGTTACCAACATATAGGTGAGGTTTAATACCATTAGATAGAACAAAGTCATCAAGACAGCATTTTTTGTTGTTGTTGTTCCATTCAATTTGTCAGTTAATGCTCAGATGGCTTCTTTATTTGCTGGACTGTTTTTGTAGGCAGAGTTTTTGATTGTAGTGCACATGCTTTTTGCCGATTTCTTGATAGGTTTTTGAGTCATTGTCCTGATATTACTTTTAGCTTGAAATAAGTAGGAAATTTTGTAAGAGAATTTTATAAGTTAAAAATGATATTTTGGGCCTAGTTTTGAAAAACAAAAATCCTGTAAAATGTGTGTTTGCTTCAAGAAATCAGAATCATGTTACCCAGACACACTTTTTCTCGGAATGAGTAAAGTGAAGATGATAAGTTACATTTATTAAATACCTACTAGGTTCCAGTGATTTTACAAACAATTGTTCATTCCAGGGCTCTGTTTTTGAATTTGCAAAACTGAGATGGCATTACTCTAATATTTCTACCATTTTTTTGCTTCCAGATGGAAATTCAATAAGGACAGTTTCTGTCTCTTGCTATTTCAACATCTCTCATGTCAGAGAAAAATTGAAAATAAAATTCCAAATTAGTGAAAACATATTCCTGACTTTCATGAGTTCACTTTCAGGTCACTTCTAAATCGGCGTTCTATTTATTGGAACAGGTTGGTTCATTCCACTAATTGCTGTTCTCTTTCTAAGGCTTAATAAAATTCCACAAAGCATCAACCTGAAGAATCCATGCCAAAAAAGCTCATCATCACTGGTCATTAGAGAAATGCAAATCAAAACCGCAATTAGATACCATCTCACTCCAGTTAGAATGGCGATTATTAAAAAGTTAGGAAACAACAGATGCTGGTGAGGCTGTGGAGAAATGGGAACACTTTTACACTGTTGGTTGGAGTATAAATTAATTCAACCATTGTGGAAGACAGTGCAGTGATTCCTCAAGGATCTAGAGCCAGAAATACCATTTGACCCAGCAATCCTATCACTGGGTATATACCCAAAGTATTATAAATCATTCTCTTATAAAGACACATGTACACATGTTTATTGCAGCACTGTTTACAATAATAAAGACTTGCAACCAACCCAAATGTCCATCAGTGATAGACTGGATAAAGAAAACATGGCACATATACACCATGGAATACTGTGCAGCTGTAAAAAAGAATGAGTTCATGTCCATTGCAGGGATATGGATGAAGCTGGAAGCCATCATTCTCAGCAAACTAACACAGGAACAGAAAACCAAACACTGCATGTTCTCACTCATAAATGGAAGTTGAACAGTGAGAACATATGAACACAGGGAAGGGAACATCACACACCGGGGCCTGTAGAGGGTGGTTGAGGGGCAAGGGGAGCGATAGCATTAGGAGAAATACCTAATGCATGTGGGGCTTAAAGCCTAGATGATCGGTTGATAGGTGAAGCAAACCACCATGGCACGTGTATACCTATGTAACAAACCTGCATATTCTGTACATGTATCCCAGAACATAAAGTAAAATAAAATAACCCCAAAAATTGGATTATTTGTGGCCATGGACTATGCGAGAATGGAGAACACAGTGTAAATTTTTCAGCTCTCTTGATTAAAATACACATAGTTGAGAATGTAAAGAAATACAATCTGCTCACGGATCATCAATCTGGAATCACTCCTCATTACCTAGAGCCAGGTTTCTCTGGCACCACTGGCACTCTGGGCCAGAAAATTTTTGCTTTAGGGGGCTGTGCAATATAGGATGTTTAGCAACATCTTTGGTCTCTACCCCTACGTGCCACAAGCAAACCCCTCTCATCTAGTTGTGACAGGCAAAAATATCTCCAGAGATTGCCAAATGCTTTCTGGGGTTGGGGGTTGGGTGTGGGAAGAGTTGATAACCTAGAGGGTAAGCTCTATTTCTTTAGTGTATGATTGAAAATCCTCTGGGGTTTCAATCCTCAAACTTTTCAAAACTGTCCCCCTAAAAATCTACCTTAAGATGCCTAGTCAACTCACTATTCTAAAAGTTTTGCTTCTTCTGGAGTTCATGTCTTTGTAAATGCACCTCCCTCTGCCTTTGGAATTTGATTTTTTTTTCTTTTAGCCAAGTGCCATCAATACTTATAAAACCTGACAAAATCCTTTGAGCTTCTTGAAATCCTAACATCAAGTCAAAATTTGGACTGGGGCTAGTCTAGTTCTCATTTTACAGCTGAAGACAATGAGGCCAGAGGGGACATTGCTTGCCAAGGTCATAGAGGTTATGCCGAGAGTAGGGAGTTGAGGTCCAAAACTCTGCCTCTGAATCTTCTGTGCTTTCTTTCATGCCTGCTTCCCAGATGTTTCTGGTCTCATTTTGCTTTCAACTTTCTCCTGAAAATTTTGTTCTTATCATTCATTTTAGTAATGAGAGCCCTGCCTGTAATAAACATAAACATATCATTGAATATGTGTGAGGTACAAGGTTACTTACAGAGACCAAACAGAAGAAAATAGTCCACTTCATAGGTTTATCACAACTCAGTAATAAAAAACTTACATTTATGGAGAAGGACTTTTTAAAACTCATTGATTTATTCAAGAAAAGTTTCTTACATCAGCACTGTCCAATGGAAATATGAGCTATACGTGCAAATATATCTAGTAGCCTCATTAAACAATTTAAAAAAAGGTGAACTTAATCTAATTAACGTATATGATTTAGCTCATTACATCCTAAATGTTATAATTTCCACATGTAATCACTATGAAAATGATGAAAGAGGTATTGTACATTCTTTTATCTATATCAAGCCTTTGCAATCTGGTGTGTATTTTATTCTTACACACATCTCAGAGCAGAGTAGACATATTTCAATGCTCAGGGTGCTAGTGGCTGCTGAGTTGCATAGCATGACCTCACATCTATTTTTCTATCTCATGGTTGCTGTTGTGTTTAAACTGCTTTATCGTTAAAACAAAACCCAGTCTTCTCCCCATACAGCTGCTTCTCCTAACTCGCCATCTGCACTAAGGCCAGCAGCAACCATTTGAGCCAGAGGCTCCTGCAGCATCTCGGCTTGGTCCCTATCTTGGGTTTTGTTCATACACCCACATCCAAAAGATCTTCAACCTCTGTCAATTTTGACACATATTTTCTCAAATGACTTCTTTTTGATAATCCCATG